ATCATCAACTTTTTCTAAAACTTCCTCCAAATCTCGATCAGCACTTTCCCCAATACAAAATTTCAGCCGTTAGTGGTTAGTGATCTCCTGTATTTAGGATTTTACACTAGTGTTTGTTAACATTAACAGTTACACTCATCAACGTTAACATTAACAGTTAACAGTTATACTCATTAACATTAGTATTCAAGTTTATATTATTAGCATAAATTATAGAGAACATTACAGTAATATATAGAGATCATCGGACACGTTGTTTTAACTTTTATAGTCGGCCATTGTTGATAGATATTGTTTGCTTAGCGAGAACAAAAGACACAATTCTTAAATATACTCCATTATTATTCGAAATAAACCAAATAATCTGACAGTGTTCACTTTTTCACTTCATAAAATGAGAATTTAATATGATAAATATATTTATATATGCACATCTGCTGATATAGTTTTTAAATAAATGAACAGAAACTGGAGATACAAAATGTGTAATAAACCACAATCCCTTACCTTCTCATTCCATAGCAGAGCAAAGACATCATTCAATTTGGAACATTGTTAACACAGAGAAAATGAATCCAGATTCTTAAGGAAAAAATCAGAAAAAATCATGAAAAAATGAAAATATCAACTTATTCACTACATGGGGGAGATCATGCATGCATGCTTGGAATCCATGTTGGGAGTCAAAAATTGTGCAAGATATCTGTGAATAAAACATGGTTTCAACTAAAGCTGTATGGTGAACAAAGGGTGTAAGCAGTATACTTTCAAAAAATTACTTCCTCTTAAATCTAACTATAACTGCAGTTGTGCATGTGCACTTACTGTTACCCTGCAGCAACACTTTGGTAACCATGGGGGTGATGGAAATCCTTAAAAGTTGGCTTCTGCAACTTCCGGAATCATCACATTTTAGCCTCAGAAAGTATTTTACACAGCCTTAACTTTTGGTATTAAAAATGCACCTCATACCTTAATTACTATTGATATGAACTTTATTGAAATGAAACCACAGATGTCTTTTATCCTCAATGCTTAAGATAGTCACCAAAAATCCAAACAAGCAATCTAGGTATGCAAATAACACACTTATTGATCTTGCTTAATTTCACCTGACTTTAGTGCTACTATATTACACTTTAATCAAACTTCTCTGCATAAAAAATCTTACATTTAGAAACTTTACACTAGATAAATTTACACTTTGTAAACCTAGTTTCCAGTCAACTAAACTGCAGAAATACAGGGTGAATATAAAAATGCAGCCTTAATAAATAATAATTCCCAGGGGCCTGCAATCTCTTGTTTTTAAATAGAAGCGAACATATATGAATACTAACAATTCTTCTTGCAACTTGCAATGTAATTCTACTTTTGAGAGATTTGGCAACTACAAAACTTTCATGTTCATTACACTCCATGTTCATTTCTTACACTACATTGTGAATACTTGATGCTAGTCTCTAAAAGTAGGATTGCATTACAAGTTGCAAGAAAAAATTGCACAATGTAACATGGCCTTAAGTGGTTGCAGTTATTTTATACACCATAAAGAGTGGAAGAAAACAGATTGAGTCATGAATATTTATAGTGGGTGCCTTTCTTTTATACACCTGGTAGAAGCTGTAAAAAAGTACCCCTATTGCAATTGAAATGAAGCTGTTGATGGAGTTTGAATGCATGATCAGCGCACTGGTGTAAATGACACATTGTGATTAGGTTGAGGCATTCGAATTAAGCGTCTCCCTTAAAATTTTACGCACAATAGGTTTAGCATAATAAATAGCGCATTGAAATTATAACAAAAGCTTGTTTCATAGGGGCACCTTTTATACCCTTTAGATTTGTAAACCTTCTTACCATTATATTCCTCGTAAGTAAATATTAAATGCTAGCAGAAATATTTAAATGTGTAAGCAATAAAAGTGCTCAAAGCATTCGAAGTAACGGAAACAAACAGAACCAATAAATTGTTCTTAAAAGTATGATTAATTCCTCACGGGAGAGGTATAAACAGCTTTTTGTGAAAAAACTTGTCTTATTCCTGAATGAACAATTAAAGGCAGATGAAACAGCTCAAAGTTGAAATATAAACACTAACAATGCACCACAGATATTTCCTACGTCGCACAATGACGTTGTAAAGGCGTTGTAAATTTGTAATTACGTTGTAAAGGCGTTTAGCTTAAACGGTGGATAAGTTCAAAATAGAAAACAAAATTATCTATTTATTGAACGACTGAGCTGAAATATTTCGATTTAAATAGTTAAATTTTCAATGGAAGTATATATTTAATGCATAAAATGTCGTTTCAGTCATTCACAAAATGTATGAGAGTATTTTTAAACTTTTGCTTATCGACCGTTTAGCAGTTTAGCTAAACGCCTTTCGAACAACCGGCCCCTGATGCCCAATAAAGGCACCCACACAGTGGCGTAGCCAGCCTGACGAATTTGTCCCGCTATGTAAATTTCGTGTTATTATAATTATTCCTTTCCTTAGAATTTCATTGTTTTCACAGTCAATAAACACTAAAATATTAGCATAGCGGGACAAATCGTCAGGCTGGCTACGCTACTGCACCCACACCGACAAATACCTTGATATTTACATACAATATGAACACAGTAATACCTTTGTTTATTCCTGAATGTTACACTTCGGAGATCAGAATGAAAATAAGAAATTTTTGTTGAAGAACAGTGTGTACATAACCGAGTAATATAGCTGCTGTATCGTCGTTTACTCATTAAATAGTTCCCTTGCCCATCCCTTCTTGCCGACCGGGGATCAAGCTCATCAAGCACGCAATATTAACAAATGAGTCATTTGTTAATATTGCGTGCTTGATGAGCTTGATCCCCGGTCGGCAAGAAGGGATGGGCAAGGGAACTATTTCCGGCAATGTTAAAAAAATAGGTACATTGTGCGTTCATGTTGGTAGCTCCTGACTGAAGACAGCACCACAACAAAACTTGCAATTTCTAAGAACTAAGAAATTAATATTTATTTTCATAAACCGTAAACGCGCACAAGGCCGATTTTAAGACTTATAGTATATGATCTCCAATTCTCTATCGTACGTCAGGCAAATTGCTGATCTCGAATTAGAAACGCTTTAAAGTGCCTATATCACTTGTGGGATCTTTACGGATTTGAATAGAGCTTGAAAAATTAGTTTATAAGTTCTACAACGCTTTTTGATATAATTAAAATAGTTTCCGTCGTGCTCGGGGCCTGGGACTCAGGAACCGAGTTCTTGTCAAACGTAATATAATCAATTGTAATTTTACTTCGATCTTCCAATAACGTAAATATTTTGAGAAAAACTCGCCCAGTTGCTACAGGCATACACAACGTACCGTTCCCGCATTTTTTTCTTGAAAAGCGCAAACTATATCGCCAGTGAAACTCTTCATGTTTATATTATAAAAGACGGCGTGTTTGCAAATCATTCCTGAGTCCCAATCCCCCAACCGACGTATTTTCGAAACTATTTAATTATATCAAAAAGGGTTGTAGAACTTATAAACTAATTTCTCAAGCTCTATTCAAATCCATAAATATCCCACAAGTGATATAGGCACTTTAACACTTGAAGGACCAAAATTTGTTTGCACCATAATACAACTAATATTTGATAAATGCTTACCATGATATAACTTGGGGGGCAATAAAGAAAATTTTGTATTTCCAAATTTTAAACCCTGATTCCATGGCGAAATTTTCAAGCGAAATTTTGAATTGTGAGAAATTATAAGGAATTAATTTATTCAATGGGTTGAAGTTGTGGAATCGATTGGGTGCGTCGTTGAATTCTCGTACTAGCTCTGGTAGCAGGCATGCTGAAAGACAAAACTGAAGAACGAGGCCATTGGTTGTGCAGCAATAGACCGAGCTATTAAAAAAACGTTGCGTTAATGTTGAAGAGGTAACTGCGATATCGTGCATGTATGCCGTTGAAATATGATGAGCCTAAAAAATAGACATTCAACAAGATATAACTCTAAACAAAGCCAAAAACCTTACAAATAAATTGTATCAAACATCTCTTGTAGCAGATCTATCTTAGCGTACAGTCGCGAAGGTTTTTCTTCGAAGCATCTTTTCTTCTTGATCGTAAAGCCTTTTTATAACAAACACAAAGACAATCATTAACGCATTTTTAAATTTTAATTCATTTGTTGCTAAACTACCCGCTCATAATCTTAACCATAGTTCTAAATTCTCTAAATCAAAGAGTGTAATAAGATTTATACAATCATAAAAAGGTTGACTTTCGGACAACGACGTGTTTACATACATACGACAGATGTGGATTTACAAGTAGCTAATAAGAAAAAGTTAAAAAAAAACATTAATAATCAAATATTAGTCATTATTAAGTATTCGATATTGTTACTGGTTGAAGCTCTTCTACTAATAAGAAGTTAATTAAATGCACATAATTCTGGAAAAACATTACAACTTTTCAATTGTTTTTTCTTCTATATAACCTCTAAAGCTTCCTCAAGGTCTGTTCACACGATCCAATTTTGTCGCATCCAATTCACTTCTGATGGATGTTTTATAGTCTGTTAACTTGCAACGTATCTGGCAACAAATGAACTAAAGTCAATGTACTACTGCTTTATCAATAACCAACTACATTCCATACGTCAGAAGTGAATTGGATCCGACAGTTGGATCGTGTAAATGGGCCTTAAGAAAGTTTATCTCTGACAGTATCCGGGGAAACTTTGTCCAACCAATCATTCGACCATCCTCGTTTCGAAGGTTTTTCTCTTTCTCCGTTCACTTGGTATTTTTACTTTCTTTTTAACTGATTAAATGAATATAGGAATACACGAAAGTCTCTGCAGTTTATATCTAATCGCTTTCAAACTGAACTCTAACTTCATTTTTTAAATCTGAAGACAAGCATAAAAATGTTCGAAAAGTAGCCAATAATAAACAATTTTTTTCTTATAAGAATTTAATGGACGCGGAAAAACATGCAGGGTTTTGGAATAATAATTTTGAAACAAACACAATTATTAAAATGAGTATACCGAAAGTGGTATAATTGGCCACAATATGATCTGGGATTAAATATGATCTAGCCTCAAGATCTCCAGGATAAAACCAGAACTGCACAAACTTGCAGTAGTGTCCAGAAATAGCCTAACGTAACCTAACACTGCGGTTGCAGTTCGGTTAGGTTACGGTTCCGTCGCAGTTCGGTTGCGGTGGACAGATAGAAACCGCAGACGACCGCAAGGGAAAAAAATACCTTCGCAGTCGCCATTCGCTTCCGAAAGAAATGTTATGAACAGAGAGAACGACAACACCATAAGAATATCGAAAAAATCTTAGGAAATGTCTGTCATACCAAGAAAAACCGAGGTTTAACCTCCGTCTCACAACGATTCGATCTCGATCAGACCTAGATTTGACCTGGTTTTTGGTAGGTTATTTCTGGACAGTACTGTAAGTCCACCTTTGTTTTCGTTGAATTAGCATGTAATCAGTTGCGCCAACATTCAAATGTAACTTAATATTGGCTAATTAGCTAAAATCACGTATAAACTTCGTTTTAATCAAATTTCCAATTATCTTGAAATAATCTTAGATATACAAGTAACAGTAATTTTATCTGTGACTAAGGTCCACATTACACGACACAGGATTAGCTGGTCACGACACTTTCGTTTGCCGCTAACAAGATATGGTTGGTAGTAAAATCTCATTGTTTTGATACATTTGGTAGATTTTATTGGATCAGACATAAATATTCAAAGCCTTTTAACAGCTAAAAAATTTAACAGTATTCAATAGAGACCCCGTATAGTGTAATTGGGCCTTACGTGTGAGATTAACTATAGTAATGACATAAGATGACCTAAAATTTAGGTTTTTTATTTATGAATATATTGCGCTTAATTACCCAATGCTGAGAAAAGTATTTGCTCAGGTAACAATCATTTCAATTTTTCGAACATTGCTCAGAGTAAACCAAGTTATTCATGCAAGAGATCGCGGTAAACAGCCAAATCAAGAAGAAAAATAAGTGCCCAGGAAGGTAAAACCTGAAACATCAGAATATTTCGTTATAGGTATGCAAAGACTCATAGTCCAGGTATGTTGTGCATACGCAGACTTATTTACGCGTGCACATATAATTTTCCATGAAACAATCGGAAAAAAATTGTTTTTGTTAATTTGCGTTTTGACTTTTATATGACCAGTAACGTACCAGCATTATTAAGGAGCACATTTATATATCCATGCATGTTCACTGACCGCAAGAACAATCGATTTGTGTTAGGACTATATGTAGAACATAAATACACGAGTATCCCCCACCCGAACTAACGAGCTGGCGACGTCACATGTGTATGGAAACCATTTCTAGAATTGGCTGTGTATTACACGCTTACCACAAGTAACTTCGTAGCAAGTATTTGAATCAATCGACTCGTATATGCTATAAAGACGATGCAAGATTTAGTCAAAAATGGATTTTTTTATTTTATTTAACAAAATCGGAACAGTTCAAACATTTGCCACATCTGATGGTTTTTACCTAATATTAGGACGCTTGTTCAAATTAAGTGGTTGGATATTATCAGTAAGTTTAATTGGCAATACTTATCTACCTGAACATATTTTATCGAGAAATAATTTTTTTAGTATTATTGATTCGTGATATTTTCTCATCTAAGACAGAAAGTCGCATTTTCCAGGATCATTACGCTAAGGAAGCGATAAATAGTTTTCAAAATTATGAATTTTAAAATGTTTGTTACCATTTTTCCCGACGGATAGAAAAGAACAAGTCGATCGCAGGAAAAAATGAAAATATACATTGGGAGAATGAAAAGGTAACCGTACGGAAGCTATGATTCTGCCTTCGGACAGCTTAACGAAATGCATCCTATCATCAGTAAAAACACCTACCATTTCGGAATCCATGTAAAAAGCATTCGGAAAAGATTTAAAAGGAAGAGTAAGCGCATTTCTCATACCATTTCTTAGAAACTTAATAGCAAATAAACAACTTTCCCCAAATTTATTTATTGCAGGGTGGAATGACACTAACACTGAACTACGAGTCATATTAATACCAGTTAAACAGAACCATTCAACTGATTCATTCAACTGTCCCGTTGAACGTACAAACCATCTGTTGCCACATTCTATTTCCCACAATTCATAAATTTTCCTCAAATTGCAATGTAACATAACAGCACACCCATCATAACTTATTGCGACAGAAGTGCACTCTTCCCACTTTTCAAAATTCCAAGAAGGTATTTCTTGAAGACTGAGATTTTCACCACAAATTTTCAAAATAGAAATTCTTCCATTAGTGCTAATTACAAGAACGCCTTTTGTAAACTTAACAACACGACTAAAATTTAAAAAAGATTCTTCAGTTTGATTTTCTAAGATATTTGAATTCAAAGGTTCATAAGGATATTTAACAACCACGCCATCAGAGACCAACCAAAGATACGACTCAGACCACCAACACGCCCCTGCTCGTTGTTTCAGTGCAACAGTTTGCAATGTTTTCCCACTGTCGATACTTCTTATTGAAAGAATGCAATTTTCAAAACAGCACGCTACATACAAGGTGTCCGGAGATAATGCACAGCAATCTATTTCGCTGTTATCGACAAAAGAAGCATCAGGAGATTCCAGAGATATAATGAATACTAAGTTTGGATACAAACTTAGAATGAATTTCGTCCCTTCTAATTTTGAAATGTGATCGAAAACACATCCATCTGGCAAACAATCAATCTGAAAGACGTCAACGATCGTTTGGTTTACAAAATCGTATATTATCAGAGCTACAGCATCTTCGGAGGAGTAATCGCGAAATGCTACACACTTTTTCTCCTTCCATAAAAAGGTTTTTGAACATATCTTGTTAGGAATGAGGACTATCTCACCAGATGGCAAGGGAACATATTCAAAGCTAAGCCTATCATGTGATTTGTCTTCATCCGGTGAACCCATCTGAATGGAAACTTTACTCGACAAACACGGCGCAACAGAATTCTTTTCAAAATACACTTCTTCCAAATTCTCAGGGCGAAAGACATCGGTATATGTTGATTTGCAAAAGTCGTCATCCTCAATCTCATCCCAACTCAAAAGGAGAATGTAGCAATATGTAAAAGGAATTTCGTCCCTTCAAATTTTGAAATGTGATCGAGTTCATATATAGCTGGCAAACAATCAATCTGAAAGACGTCATCGATCTTTTGGTTTACAAAATCATATATTATCAGAGCTACAGCGCTTGTGGAGGAGCAATCGCGAAATGGTACACACTTTTTGCCCTTCCATAAAAGTTTTTTGAACATTTTTTATTAGAAAGGAGGACTATTTCACCAGAAGGCAACCAAACATGACGAAAGCTAATCCTACGGGATGATTCGGCAATATCCGGGGAATACATCTGAATGGAATCTTTACTTGACAAACACGGCGCAACAGAATCCTTTTCGACATACACTTCTTCTAAATTGTCAGAGCGCAAGACAATCCTACATATTGATGAGTCCGAGGCGTCATCCAAACTCAAAAGGAGAATGTAGGAGCCACACAAACTAAACAAACACGAAGAAAAAGAACAACTCGAAAAGTTTTCGGGGGCGTGTGGAATGAAGGGTACTTCCTTTTGTTCCTTAACAAGGACGCATGGCCGAATTGAATTGCATAAAAAATAGGAGGAATCAGGAGAAAAGGCAAAGGAGTTGTTAAAATAATTGTTTATCTGATCTACTTGCATAATGAAAAGAGTCGTGAGGCTTGGTATTTTAAGCACGTGTACTTCCCTTGTATTAGTATTAAAGAGGGCAAAAATCGTATTGTTCGGTGACAACTCAGAACTGGTAGATGAATCAACTGACAAGGCACAGGAGACATGATTTAAATTATTATTCTCTTCGTTTGTCACATGTTCTATCCAAATCTCATTTATTGTATCCAAGATATTTCTAGCAACATTCTTAGGACAGACATTATTTTGTGAAAAATCAAAGCATCCGTTTCCAAGATCCTTCAAATAACTGTCAGAATATACTTGGGGGTCTGATGCCGTTAAATACACCGTTCTTAACTTCCTTAAGGCCGGCGCACACTAGAGCTATGTGCTTAGCAAAAAGTCATTCGTGGCCATTGGCGTAAGCCAGTTGCTCTCGTGTGCGGGCGACCTTTCCGGCGACTTTGGTCATTCGTGCCACTTACGGCAAATATCTAGCATGTTTGATAATTTCTTCCTCGCGTGCCGAAATCTTTCCGTGTGCGGCAAACTAAAAGCTATCTGCTTATGGATTGTCTTAACAGCGCATGCGTAATATACGAAAGTATACATCCAAGATGGCGGACAGATTGCAAAAACAAAATTATGGATGGAAGTGAAGACGAAGAGGTGCTGTTATTTTTGTTGCTGTTGCGTCGGACTAGACTAGACTTCCACTTTAAACACCGTTACCCAAGTGCTATTAATTATATTACCTGTTTGAGAAAGCTTACTAGTTATTTCTGCAATAGCGCATTCCCGTTTCTCTCTTTTTCTAAAATTTGTAGAATTCACATCGTATAAACACCTGTATTCTGGCCAAAGATCAACCAGTTTTTCTTCCAATATGGCCTCAGCCACCAATTCGTTTTGCTTTGTTTGCACCGCTATCTTGGATGTTTACTTTCGTATATTACGCAAGCGCTGTTAAGACAATCCATAAGCAGATAGCTTTCAGTTTGCCGCACACGGAAAGATTTTCGCACGCGAGGCAGAAATTATCAAACATGCTAGATATTTGCCGTAAGTGGCACGAATGACCAAAGTCGCCTCAAAAGGCCCCCAAACACGAAAGCAACTGGCTTACGCCAATTACTCACGAATGACTTTTTGCTAAGCACATAGCTCTAGTGTGCGCCGGCCTTTAAGTAGCAATGCAGTTCAATGATGCCGTAAAATGATTTGGAACAAATAACTATTAATAAAGGAGTTGCGCTCGGAAAATTGTAGTCTTAAATAGTTTACGCCAAAATGCACAAACAACTGAAATTTCTCCATCTTACCTGTTTTCTTAAAATATTCCACACCATTTATCAAAGCGTATATATTCTCGAGTGAAAATTGAAATTCTAAAATAGACTTCTCACAAGCACGCAAAAGACGTCTATTTCCGTCTTTCACATCTGCAACAAACGCATGTTCCTCATACCCATTCAAAGTCATCCAATCCCATAATGACTTATGATAAAGAGACAGGCAACCATCATAAACTGGAAGAATTTCTGACATAATGTCAATAATCGCCGTGCGTATTTCGAATTCTTCCCAGGGCAGACCCATGCATGTAAAAAGAATTTTCAGTGGGAGAGGCATGAATGCGGCGGCAATAACATTGATAAAACTTTTTAAGATAGAAGAAAAGGTATCTCGCTTTAAACGTTGGAGGCGGCTTTTCAAACGTTTGAACTGTTTTTCGTAACATCCGGCAATACCATTGGGGATGAAATCACTTAAGTCGGTTTCAATTCCCAAGCCCTTTTCTCTTAATTCATGAACTAAGTGATAAGCGTACAAAAACGATCCCTCACACTTACGAATAACTAACCTTAAACTACGATCATCAAGATTAGGTAAATCACGACGAATAAAAAGCTCAATATCTTGATTGTGATCTTCATCATCAGGACTGATTTCAAACGGCTGTAAATGTTGAAGAACCTTCCGTACTTGTAGCTCCGGTCTGCTCGAAATGAATATCTTAATCCAATCAGGCAGTTCACAAAATTTCTCGGATATCAACTCCAAAAATTCGCTCTTCATATCAGTTTTGCTCTCGTCCAAGGCATCAACAATGATCAACATTGGATCATTTCTGCGAAGAGAGTGTAGTGGATCGTTTAAAAGAACACGAAATGCATCTGACAGCGAGTCCCGAGAATGTTCACGACAAAGGATTTCGGTTAGTTTATCACGGAATCCATCAACATTATCACACATTTGGCTGGCAAGGGACTGGAGGATTCTGTGAGGATTGCTGTAATCAGAATTTTGAAAGTCGCAGAAATGGTGAGCTGCGAGTTGGCTACGTTCTCTATACAGCTCAGAGATCTTTCCAGACAAAACACTTTTTCCAACGCCTGGACCTGCAGTTAGGATCATAACCCTGGTTTCTTTACTCACAAACCAACTTGAGAGTTTATCAAACAACCATTTTCTAGTTCCTTCATGAAATTTTTTACAAAGGTCGTCAATCTTTCCAGTAAAGTCAAATTTAGCGAGTTTCTCGCCATTTGAGTGATGAACATTCTCATCTACAGTTTTTCTTAGCTTGACTACTTCACATTTAACATCACTTAAATCTGATTTTAAATCATCGTCTTGTTGTTTCCATTCTTTTAATCTTTCAATATAACTTTCTTCTTCAAGGCTGAGAGGAGCCACTTTCAACTCATCAATATCCTTTTGAGGAATTCCCAAGTTGACCAACGGTACCGAAATTTCTCGCCACAATTTTTCAAACGTTGTGTCGTCCAAACTTGCAGTTGGATTATGACCATACACTTCATTCCTCAACATTTTGACTCTCAAAATGTTTGCTGATATAGATGTATCGCTAGCTGGAGGCATAACATCCCACCCAGTCGCTGGTGGAGACAATCCACAAATATTTCGAAGTAGGACAGTTAGTAAGGTAATATCGAAGTTGTTTGAATCTGGTGCACCAGATATTGGGAAGAGTAGATCCCATTGCGGGGCTTTAATTATACTGTATCGTATTCTCTGTAGGGTCGCTCTGTTGGCATTCAATGCGGAGGCCAAGGTGGAAGGTGGACGTATCGAATGTAGAGCATTTTTTAAAGCATCTCTCAAAGCATCTCCTCCTTTATCTACCAACAGTTGACAAACCCGGGAATAATTAGCTTTGCTTTTTATTGAATCCATTAAATTGATCTTTAAATTGAAAATCCCTGAAATCAGAGAAGGAAATGATTGGGAGATTGTTCTGATAAAAACAAGACACAATATTCAGATAATACTTCGGCTCTACTTTAAAGTCATTGTTAAACGTATTCACAAAATTTACAAGCATGGTGCGTTCCTTATATCAGCTACTCAGGGAAAAGGATGACCAAACTCAGTGAGTTAAATGGAACATCATAATTATCTTCACAAGAATGCGGTCATATATTCGAGGGAAAAATCATAGTACGTTTCATAAGGTGGTTCCCAATACGTGTAATTAGTGCAGTTTGTGACGGCTCGTTCTGTTTAGATTTTGGGGCGTTGTTAGAAGTTTTTAATTCGAAGTGTATATTCTTATATATGATCGTCTTATGCCGCACTGATTCCATTTCAAGGCTATTGTTTTTAGGGTAAGTTGATATAAACATATGAATATTCTCCCCCAAGTTCAATGACGGATCTACTTCCCAAATGCAACTATTGTTTTAAGCTGCGCGAGTGTTTTTTATGGCTATTGCTACGGTATTATAATGGCATTAAACAGTGCTTATGTTTCTAAACAACTCGCTACACCTCATCTGAAGCTCCTCAGCCCTTTCAATGGGACAAATCCCCATTGACGTTGACATCAAGAAGAGAAAATGGGGATGGATATGTGAAACCCTACAAAAAACCAGACCAACAGCACAAGACAGGCCTCAAACCCACAGGGGAAAAGACTAGGGATCCAAGGATTGTGCAAACTTTCTATGCCCTGTAATACCTTAGCAACCAGACGTTTGTCCCAACATAGACATTTTGACTTATGCCAGTAAAAATTTAATGAGGTAGCTCAAAGTACTCAAGTTACGTTAGTCGCGGATATTGTCACTATTAAATAATAATTTTAGTTGCCCATGTAAACCGGGCGCGATTTTCTCAGTTAGTCAGTTTAGTCTATTTTCTTCGTCAAGCAACTGTGACTAATAGCCAAAATAGTTGCGTTGTAAATAATGTAAATAAACCGCGGTGCATATTATGTCTATGATGTGGATACTTCAACGCGTAAATCGATACAAAACAATATATTATAATCAATACTGTATACCGCCAAAATTATTTGATTACTGCACAAAATGTCTGTTTTGTATAGTTTTATTTATGTACTGTATGCAGAATATCAGGTATCGACTTGCTATCGACATAATATATACAGTAGAAACGCTTCCTATTTTTGATCTGTTTGCGCAAATACATTCGCCTAGTGGAGAACGGGCTTAACATCTCAGCGTGTTTTAATCATAGGTTACCCGAAAATGTGTTTTTTCATGGCATTAATCTACAATTAGCGTTTTGATCCGTTATAATTTGCATTACATGAAGTAGCGCACGCACTCATAATTAAAAAATATCAATGATTTCTTATGTATAAAATATATACAAGGTTGGCAAGTATATTACTGTATACAAATTATATATCAATAAAAAAATACATCAAAAACACTTCAATCTCTTAAAAAACACAGATCAGTATGAGCACGAGTAAATTTGAAACATGTATCCTGTAATTTTTTGGTCTAAAATCACACCAAAAAGGCTGAATTTATCGAAAATTCGTCAAAATTTTAGTGAAATTTTTTCAAAACTATGCGGGATGATAGCTGCCTGCCTTACGTACAGATATATGCCCTGTGATTGGCTGACTTTAGCGATTCGCTCAAGCAACGCCCACGTGAACCCAGTGGAATACTGTCCACCACGAGAACAAGAAAGAAACATGTCTCAAACTGACTCGGACAGTCAAGAAAGAGATTTCCAAGATGATGTCTCCAGAACTTCCACTCAGCAATCTGGAAATTCGACGGCGACTGAATCAGAATCTGGAGAAGAAATGGATCCCTGGATACCGTTAATACAAGAAGCAAGACAAAGAAGTAACACAGCTTTTCGGGGGGTACGCGCATCGCACATAGATCAGGGGGAGCACTGCCGCTTCCCCGGCCGTGTTTTACAGCGCCCTGTCTCAGATGAAAGGAACGCCCAAAACAGAGCCCGTTGGAGGAGCGCCGTTGAGGCCCGATGTTCCGCAGAGAATCCAGAGGCTTAAACACTTAAACAATGTTGCTAAATATAACAAAATATAATTTAATATAATTAATGAACAAAATATAATTTGAACACAAAAGAATTGAAGCACTGCCCAAATTTAATATATTGTAATGATGTATTCCTTAAAAGATATCGCAGCGAATAATTTCAAAAGATAGCTGACATCAATTGACTGTCCTATCTGGTCTGAGTATATATATTTAGGTTTTGGAATTTTGGAAATATGCCATAAGAACCGACATACTACAAACACTTATGATATTGCTACATACATGTACTGTACATGAGCCATACATACAGACGGTTGGTTGTTGACTTTTTCAAGAGCTGGACTGAAAGCAATACATTTACAGAGCAGCAGTGTGTGAATTATGTAATTAGCAAATAGGAAGATACTGTATGTCATTTAGTGACGGAACTGGTAACGCGATTTTTAAACGAAAGTTTCATCAAATGTTGGGTTATGGACTTTCTCACTGACAGACTACGAGTGAAATTAGCAAGAGATTGTTTGTCCGAATGGTTACATGTTTCTTCTGGTGTCCCCCAGGGAACCATATTGGGACCGTGGCTCTTTATTCTAATGATAAATGACCTCCATTCTCCCCATCACGAACGATGGAAATACATTAATGATACCATCATATCCGAAATTATTTACACCTAGTAATATTCAGGATACAGTAAAATATGTTCAAACTTGGTCAGAAGATAACAAGATGCAATTAAACGCTTCTAAGTGTAAGGAAATTGTTATTAGCTTTACAAAACCTGAGAAAGTTTTTCCTAATCTTAATGTTAACTCAGATCTTATCGAGACAGTGGACCATGCCAGAATGCTAGGATTGACGATATCCAAAGATTTGAAGTGGAATCAACATGTAACCAACACAATTAAGAAAGTTAAGAAGCGTATCTATATTTCATTATTCAGTTGAAACGTGCTCACATAGTCACATTCCTGAAGTGGACATTATAAACTTCTACACTACCTGTGTTAGACCAGTTTTGGAATTTACATCATTTCTCCCTTCCAACTTATGTACCTATCCAATTCCCTTGAACGAGTTCAAAAGCGTGTCCTATCAATTATCTATCCACTTAATTGCTATGCGGATTGCTTAGAAAAATGTGGAATCAGGTCATTAAGTGACAGGTGCGTGAAAACATGCGAAAAACTATTTAAAGAATTAACTACAGAAGCAGTGGAAAACATTTATGTTATACCATCTAGACACTTCCCATACTATAATCTGAGACTTTCTAGAAACTTTGTTGTTCTGCAGACTAAAACGAACTAACAGATTTAGAAACAGTTTTTTTCCCTTCACCTCCAAGCATTTTATTGCATGCTTAATTGTTTTTTAACCTCTTTGTAGTTTTGTAGTTCAATACATATAAATATAAAAATAGTTTTGTTTTTTAATCAACCATTAATAATGTAAATTAGCGTTCGCAATTCAGCCTTTTCTCTGCAACCTGCCCTTTTAATTAAAGGATCTATCTATCTATCTATCTATCTAGTTTAACCGGAAACAGTTCTTTCATTCTCAGTTAACACTCATGTATCACTATAGGAAAGATCTCGCCACAATTGTCATGACAATGTGGTGATATCCACATGAAAATAGTTTCTGTTAGTCAACTTTACATGTTACAATACCTTAAAATTTTGGTCATCTATCTCAAATCTCAGCACTTTCCCAATATAAATATTAAGCTCTTAGTGGTTAGTGATCTCCCATTTTTGGGATTATACAGTAGTGTTCACTTTCCCACTTCATAAAATGAGCATATTATAATATAATAAGGATATTTATATATGCACATCTGCTGATAACTGTAGTCATTAGTAAATGAATGCAGAAACTGGAGATACAAAATGTGTAATAAACCACAATCCTTTACCTTCCCATTCAATAGCAGAGCAAAGACATCATTCAATTTGGAACATCGTTAACACACACAGTGAAAATGAATCCAGATTCCTAAGGAAAAAGGTAAGAAAATCTGTCAAGTTTTAAATATGAATAGTTTAACATTTTTATCGCCACTGTGGTCTAGCCAATATATTTTAAAAATTCTGACTATGATTGCAGTTGTGCAGGTGCCCTAGCTGCAGTTGCCATGCAGCACTTTGGTGACCCTAGGGATGATGAAAATCCTTAGAAGTTGGCTTCCACAACTTCAGGATAAATGTTTTAGTTTATCAGAATTATGTTTTAGCCTGAGAAATTATTTTATACACCTCATGCAGTATGCATGTGTTGGCATATAATCGCTAAGATGTTGGTGTGTAATAAAACAAATCATTCCATTGTCAATGGTTATAAAATGGTCACCAAAAATTTAAACAAGCAATCTAGGTGTAACACTCTTATTCGTCATTCTTAATTTCACCAGACCTTATCACTACATAATTACATTTGATGATTGCCAAAAAATTCAAACATCTTGACATAAAAACATAATACATTTCTAAACCTTCAGCATGGCAATTGCATGGATGTACCCTAGACTGGTATAAGAACTATGTTAATACAAATAAGTAAATTTATGCTATGTACAATAGCTTCCACTTATCTAAGCCGGAGAAATAGATTTGTAAACCCTTTTATTCTGAATAAAACTTTCAAATTATCATGCATATTTGGGCTTCCTATGATAAAATCAATATTTTGGGGGAATCATATATTCATATGACCATGGCAGTTTACGACCCCAATGGCAAGGTTGTTAAGATAACATGATTCTTCTAATGAACTTATAATAAATACCTACAGCGATAAATACCTTGATATGCTCAAATATTGTCGTGAAGCAAATTGACAACAGGGGCGTAAATCGGAATGCTGGCTTGCAGGGCACATAAATTCCTCTTGAAACTAAAATAGAAAATAGTGTTAATATTGTGAAAAAAGGCATGTCTTATTCCCAAATGAACATCTAAAGACAGGTGAACACTCAAAGATGAAATATCACAACATTCTGCAATAGTACTACAGTTCTCTACAGTAATTTTGCGTCGTTTGCAATTTCTAATGAACTATAAATGGGCTATTCCATTTAATATCCGCAACCCCCCTATCGAGGAGCTTGCTTTTGGCCAACTTTACCCCTGAGGAAAATAAGATTTTTTTTCATACCCCTAAAGAATTCCTGACTTAAATATGTCTACCCCAGAAGAATTCCTGACTTAAATATGTCTACTTCTAAAGAATTCCTGACTTAAATATGTCTACCCCTAAAGAATTCCTGACTTAAATATGTCCACCCCAGAAGAATTCCTGACTTAGATATGTCTACCCACTGAGCTATATAATAATTCCTGGAGGACCGGTTCGTCATTTTTCGGTAACTTCGCCGCCATCTTTTTGCACAAAAAAACATGGCGGATTTTGCCTTCTGCGCACTGCGCAGAAGTTTTGCTGACGCCATATGGTCCCCTTTGCCCAGGGTAATTACCACTGACCAGGCTCAAATCTGAGCCCGCTACGAGAGATGCTCCCCCCTGGTTTATCTAAACAACAGTATTTCCCCCCTGGTTTTTTATGAATATTTTTTTTGCCGTGAAACATGAATTGGAAACCTTGCTGTTTTGTATTTTTCGATTTATTTTTGTGCTACAAAGCGTTGCAATAAGGCGTTTATTTCAGTTCTATACAATCGTGGACGCTGTTTTGCGAATGCCAGAGAAAATATTAATATTAAAACGTAAAAAAAATTCTGGACGAAGGATTTTTATACGATTAGCTGACAGGTTATTTTATTTATTTATTTATTTTCATAATTCATACATTTCTGTGTAAAATTTTTAAAATACTTGAATATTTTTCGAGTCTTTCAAAAATTTGGATTATCTTTTGGATATCAATCGCCGATTAAAGGTTACCGGCAGAAAATATGTGGTTATGCCATGTTTTCTTTAGAACATCATGCTTATGCATATCAGCCCATAACTCAAGGAAAAAAAAGGCCAAACCTCATGCAAGATGCTGGGCAGCTGATTATATAGTAATAGTACTTCAAGTCATTTGCATAGGATATTTTCATTCAGGTCATTATAGCTAGCCTAAGTTACCCCTATCTTACTGTATCCCAAGTAATGCATTTTCCAATCATAATCATATTCCAGATAATGCAAGGAAAGGCTATGGTAAATAACAAAAATTTTATTATAGTACCAACTACCAAGAAGAATATGGTACTAGTTGTGCTATTAAACAAATGTCTCATGAATTCATGAAAATGCAACTGAGCCTATTCATTCCTCCATTAGTCTATAATCTATTAACCTTCAATTCCTGATTAGCCCCATGATAATATTCCTTTGAATGGTGGGGAGGGTAAAACTGTCCAGAAGTTGCTGCAAATTGAAAACAAACTGCTCAGTCAATGCATGTCTGTATAAATTTATTTTCCATTTAAAAACTATCTTAACTATGACTAACAAAGTCAACATGGTAAAATTAACAGTTTAATGTTCCAGTAATTTGCAAAAAAGCCATCCCCAAATTCAATAGCATCTTCATCCTAAAAAAGAGAGATCAGACCAAGTTTAACTGTACTCAATAAAGTACACCCAGAGGACAGAGCCAGAGGGGAATAAAAACCATTGCAAACTGATTAACAATCAAGCTTGTAGCTTGATCAACAAGGTGCAAGATGCCAAGAAGTCTATTAAGCCATGATTATTGACTTTGCATTTGACAAGGCAAACAAGATAACATACTAGACTTTTAACAACCACTGTTGAAATCTGACAGTAAAATATTTTGTATCAGCACTCACACAGTCATCATGTTTAATGTTTTAAATTCATCTAAAGGATCAATAGAGAGACTAATAGATTCACTGGGAGGATTGAATATTGATTCATCTTAATTGTTTGGCTGAAAATACTCATGAGTTGGCATTAAATATGAGTGAAAGCTCCAGTGCAAATGCCATAAGAGTTCTATTCAAAAGCCAAAACTGGCAAGACATAGCCAAAACTCAAAAGATCAGTTATTGATCCTTTTTCATAAAGTATAGTTTTTCATAGCGTAACTAAGTCATGTACCATTGATCAAAAAGGCTGCACTCTGCAGCATATTTGCCGTTTTTAACATTAATTTCAAAAGAAATAAACTGCAACAGACGCTTTGGTAGTTGTCTATACCAAAGGCGAAAAACGAAAATGTTGTGAAAACCGGCTTACCTGAGGTAAAAATTGATATCCCGATAGGTGAATTAGGCCATTCACAGCATCATATGTAGAGCGAAAAATCACTTCTCCATTTAACTTGTTGAACAGGGAAAAAGAGTCTTTTTAGATGAAACGCGGAGAAAATATATGCCGAAAACAATACCGAAAACCAAAAATATTTTCATAAAAATCGGGAGGGTGATGGACACGTTTTTGACTTTGTATCGCGGTATGTCAGTGGTAATTACCATGGGCAAAGGGGACCATGTGGCGTCAGCAAAGCTGAAAATCCGCCATCTTTTTCGTTACACTTTTTGGTGGCGAGCCGGTCCTCCAGGAATTATTATATAGCTCAGTGTGTCTACCCCAGAAGAATTCCTGACTTAAATATGTCTACTTCTAAAGAATTCCTGACTTAAATATGTCTACCCCTAAAGAATTCCTGACTTAAATCTGTCCACCCCTAAAGAATTCCTGACTTAAATCTGTCCACCCCTAAAGAATTCCTGACTTAAATCTGTCCACCCCTAAAGAATTCCTGACTTAAATCTGTCCACCCCTAAAGAATTCCTGACTTAAATCTGTCCACCCCTAAAGAATTCCTGACTTAAATATGTCCACCCCTAAAGAATTCCTGACTTAAATATGTCCACCCCTAAAGAATTCCTGACTTAAATATGTCCACCCCTAAAGAATTCCTGACTTAAATATGTCTACCCTAGGAGTTTAATATATGGACTACATTTGTATTTCTGGTTTGCATGGTTAACAACCTTAAATCATTTTTCTGGCTAGGACAGAAAAAGTGATGAACTTTCTTTCAGATCAGTCCCCCTCCCCGCCCAAGTAAAATATGCTCCGCCGCACCGGAAGCCACAGTTTGATAAGCATAGGTAGATTGTATAGACTTTCTGGAGCATCTATGTTAAGTTTAAGAAAAAAAATGATGGTAAAAATATTCCAACAGATTCCAATCCAAAATCTACCTGCCCCTTAGGGATGAATGTGAACATCTATGTTTACCACTGAAGAATCATCACCTATTAGCAAAAAAAGCCCCGCTAAGCCTAAGGCTTTATGACAGTATCTAAGACTGTTTGATAATAGGAAAAAAGTTATATAAACGAAATAGCAAAACTTTAACTTCCCCTATAATATGGTGTTGCATTAAGCAAACAGATTTCAAGTTTTGTGGATTCAGTTCTCTGTATCTCAGTGTAACTCAAATGGTATAACCCTGTTTCCATTATAATGCACAATTACGAAGACGATGGCAGCTAGATGTACATTTTGCCAGAGTCCTTGCAGTCAATCCCCTCTCTCTCTCTTTCGTATTTTCCAAATTCAAAATCCAGTTCACATTTCAGTTCAAACCAGGTAAATAAACTTTTTCTTCTTTTTACGGAAAGACGTTTCGTTTGGTTGCCCTTATAACGGTTGTTGTGAAAAATTTGGGATATCTGTTTCCTGGAATATTCACGGTCTATTAAAAGTTGTTTTCGAATTTGAATCTATTCGAATTTTATTCTCACCGTCACCTTGATAACTGTAACTTTCCTTTGGCCAGCATAGAAGTCACATCAATTCTGTAAATTGACTCAGGCTCAGAAATGTAAGCGACCTCAATTTGGTCCAACATTGAATCGGCTTTCTGTACTTCTGCAACATACCACCCCGGCCGCCAACCAGAATCGCCTATCTCTTCCTTTGTCCAACGAACCTTCACACGAGCTCCGACTTCAAAGAAATTCTCAAAATCGATATCCGTTTCGGCTCTCGGTGTAAACTCCGAGTTTGACTCTGATTTCACCATACTATCCTTTTCATCCTTAGCATTCCCAAAAATCGATCTCTAGATTTAAATAACTGATGAAGATCACTTACGTTTGTGATGTTGTCGGGGACTCTTATGTTAGATCTTTCTTTGAGGACACTTCTGTTGACGCGAATTTGCTTGACATTGTCCGTATTAAGTAAATCATCTTTAACTTCCTCTGCTATGATCTTCTTTGCACTGGCTATTGTCTCCTTCATGATCTTTGCTTGGCTGAATGAGCATAGATAGGGACGTCCATGACTCAACAGAAAAACTCTGAGGACTAATTCGTCTTTGTTGCCACAGTACGATAATGCGTGGGATTTCAATATATATTTCAACGTAGCGATAGGTAGTTTTCTAATATTACAAACTGTGTCTGGTAGTGATGACGGTTCTCCATTGTAGTCAGGGTAAAAAACATCTTCGTCTGCTTCCCCATTTTTCAGTGCGATACGTCGTACTAGTTCGTGTTTGTTTCCTTTTTGATGCAGGTCATTTTTTTTGCATATTTGATGTAATTCAGCTAATGGCATTTTGTACAGCTCGTGGTTTCTCCATTTTTCTCGCTCAATGTTTTGTTGATAATCCTTTTCCATTCTTTCGCATTTATTTTTAAAATATTTCATCACATCATCAACTGGAATCCAAGTGAGAAGGGCCAACGCTTCAAGAATGTCTACGGGAGGTTTAGAGTCAATAATAAAAAAGGTGTCAAGTATCCGGGATGGAAGGAATAGTCCAGGAGAGACGACCAATTGCGGGCTAGAAACATATAAAGAAGATGTTTTTTCAAAGGAGAGATAGTGAAGTTCGCCGCCGCTTGTTAGCCATAACACGTGGTCAGGGATTGGCTGTAGTTCTAAATTATCATCATTAGCGTTTCCATATAGGTTGGTCGAATATTTGTCGTTCCACGATGTTCGTTCGCCGTTTTTATTCATAATAACATTATAATCCTCGACGTAACTTCTTTCGAAGTCTTCCGGGATACCCCAAACCTTCACAAGTGCTTGAAAGTGTGGATTCTCTGAGGTGCTTGGACCGTACATCCATGAACATTCTTCTTTTCTTTCCTCTGAAAATGTTAGAAATT